AAACAAACAAACAAAAAAAGTTGTATACTATGAATATTTTTTGGCTTTGTGAGAAATTTCTTGTTCCTTTATTGCATCTAAAACAAACTAAAACAAAACAACACAAAACAAAACAACACACAACACAAAACAAAACAACACACAACACAACACAAAGCAAAACAACACACAACAAAGCAAAACAACACACAACACAACACAAAAAACAACACACAACACAAAACAAAACAAACAAAAAAAAAAACAGTAAACCGGTGATGGACTGGCCATTCATTAAGAGTGTTTCTCTACCTTCAAAAACATTTTCTTTTGCGAACGGATGGCTGCATAGAAGAAAAATACAATTAAATAAAAACCTGGCTTTGTACAGAATAAATATATTGTTGGCTGTGTGGCGAATTTCTTATATCAGACTTTGGATAAAAACATCTGCTACAGTAAATGCATGAATGGAAATGTTTCTGAACAAGACACTTGACTTCATGGCTGCTCCAGATGGACTGTCCTTGTCCCCTCTCTATAACTTAGCTATCAGTTGTAGAGAATGAAGTACAACTGGTAAACAGACTTGTTTGTCGTTCTGCCCACACTGTAGATTTGTTCACAATAACAGATTTGCCTTGGAAATGCTTACAGGTTTCCATCAAAAAATGTCCCAAAACTATGCAAAGCTGCAGAAGGGTGTCCCATTACTGATGGCCATAATGAAGAAGATAGAAAGGATTGGGTTACTTCATTAGAGGTTCATCAGATGACTTTTGGTTTGGCCTCAACTTATCATAGTTTACATTTATGATGGCAGTATAGTCAAATATGATGCGTTTAAATGACGCTAAGGGCTTCAGAATTTAACTGCAATATGTTTCTTAGTCTACCGACACCTGTAATTGTATTATTATTTTTAAGTGGATTTGAGATGGCTGCTTCACAGTTTAAAATGCAAATGGAATGCTCAGAATTTATTACCTTAATCTATATGTCCAGTCTGTTTGAGAGCATACACACAAATTTACCTACATACAATTTTTCAAGTGTCGAACATCTGATTTCATATAACATACCTCAAGGTTTTGGATGAGAGATGCACAACACATTTGTAGATTTCCAAACCCTCCAACATCTTGGTCTCAAAGTCTTCTTTTATAATGGCATAATACCATTTAACCGCATTGGTTTTCAATGATGAGTTCATAAACTATAGGCATTGTGCTGCATATAATGCTTGACTATTATCAAGTCAAGCAAAATATCACATTAAAGCCTCTCTTGTTCATCAGTTCTACTTGGTATAAAGACAGCGGTCACAAAAATACACTCATTTAATATATAGATTCAGTTACTCACTCATCTCAAGCTGGCTCTTCTTTTACCCCGTCAGATGAGGCAGGTGACCTGAACGTTGAGGCTGTAGTTTGTGTCTTCGTTGCCTGTCGGAGAGAATGAGATGTGTCAGTGTCTTTTCTCTCTGTCTTTGTTCATCTACCGCACTTTTCCTGACGTGTTTTACATAGAAAAACAAAAACACCAAGAGTCACTCTACCACTTTCTTTCTTTTTTTAGTCTCTCGCTACCACTGTGTTGTAAAGAATGGCAGCATTTGAATACTGGAGCAGCAGGCAGGAGGAAATGCACAGCGAGTAGTCAAATACAGCCACCACGCAGATCGACAGTGTAAACTTTACAATCCTTACCTGAGAGGGAATAGAGAATACATACCTGACCTGAAGAGAAGACTGTGTGCCAAAAGCCTTCCATCTTTACTCTACCAAAAAGTAACTCTAACAGTACCATTGTGACACACACACACACACACACACACACACACATGCATTGTGGGGACATTCCATATGCAAAATGGTTTTTATACTGTACAAACTGTATGTGCTATTGCCCTACACCAACTCTACCCCTAAACCTACCCCTCACAGGAAACTTTGTGCTATTTCAGATTTTCAATACACTCCATTCTGTGTGATTTATAAGCGTTTTGAAAAAAGGGGACATGGGGTAATGTCCTTATAAGCCACCTTCTCCGTGTAATACCTATGTCATACTCATGTCATTATACAAGTTTGTGTCCTCATATGTCACGAAAACATGCGCGAGCACACACACACACACACACACACACAGGTTTGTTTTTGTGAAAAGTGGGGACATCCCATAGGCGTAATGGTTTTTATACTGTACAGACCGTATATTCTATTGCCCTACACCAACTCTACCCCTAAACCTACCCCTCACAGGAAACTTTGTGCTATTTCAGATTTTCAATACACTCCATTCTGTGTGATTTATAAGCATTTTGAAAAGTGGGGACATGGGGTAATGTCCTGAAAAGTCACCTTCTCCTTGTAATACCTATGTCATACCCTTGTCATTATACAAATTTATGTCCTCATTTGTCACAAAAACGTACACACACACACGCATGCACGCACGCACACACACACACACATTCATCAAATGAAAATTTTGGACATGTTGGTACAATTCTGTTGATGAAAATGTTCTTTTTAAGCTGTAAAGTAAAATAAAATTAAATACATTAAAAGTTCACCAACACGGAAACTTTTGGCTTATTGGACATTCTTATTCATAAGCAGAAAAGATCAAGCTGCATGTATTATTTCATGTATGTTTCCATTTCCTGCTGTGTCTGTATGCAAAAAAGAGACAAAAAAAGGTGTTGTCTTCATTGAACTGAAATAATTTATTCACGTAACGTGCAAATACATAAACATTTCCTTCAAATTGATAACTCCACACCTGAGCATTTACATAATAGTCAAATAAACACATCAGTGTAACCTTCACATCCATCTGTACCATTGAAACAACATTACATAATACATGAATGCCCTTGCTGGATTTGTTCATCAATATTCTGTGAATGTTATATAGTGGCTGCAAAAAGTATTTGAACACTTTAAAATGTATGTCTTGTCACTGCAATACACAGCAAAATACAGCATCAAAGCAAGCTGCTGACAAATGCTAAATATCATGCGATATGTAATGTGATGAACTAGACCTGTGTATTTTTTGAGAACGGACTTCATAAATCCATAAAAACCAAAACACCAGCTGATTTAAAGACACTAAGCAAAAATTAATAATACAATTAAATTAGAATAAACCCCTGCCCCTCCCAAGATAGGACAATATTGTTTTACAATACATAAACAAATACAATACATAATATAAAAATACAATAAAATGCCTCAGTAAATGCAGCTTGTTTTAAGAAAAGCTCTAGCAGCCTTTGCTTGATATTTTGTTATCCAATGCAATGACATTCAGTCAGTTTTAAGTGTGATTTAAGTGTACAAATACTTTTTTGGGGTCATTGTATATTTTGCAGAAATTAAAGACATAAAACAAAACAAAAACTCTTTGGTTGGTATATTAGTTATATACACGTCATTACACGTGAAATCAACAGTGCCATGTTGGCAAGACAGTATTTTCAGAAAAAGCCACAATATTCTTTTCATTCTAGAACTATAGCCCTAATATTAAAGAAAAATATATTTATATATATTTTAAAAACAACAACCACAAAACACACTGCATCACTGATTTTCATTGACTCCACATTCTCCATTGTCTGATCATGTTTCTGGGAAAATATTGAGATCTGCTGTTTTTGTATTGAACATTTGTGGGAAGTTGTGGCCTAATGGTTAAAGAGACGGACTCGGAGCCCAAAGGTTGTGGGTTTGAGTCTCGTACCGGCAGATAGGTGGGGGGGGAGTGAATGTACAGCGCTCTCTCCCACCTTCAATACCATGACTGAGGTGCCCTTGAGCAAGGCACCGAACCCCCAACTGCTCCCCGGGCGCCGCAGCAAAAATGGCTGCCCACTGCTCCGGGTGTGTGTTCACGGTTTGTGTGTGTTCACTGCTGTGTGTGTGCACTTTGGATGGGTAAATGCAGAGCACTAATTCCGAGTATGGGTCACCATACTTGGCCACATGTCACTTCACTCACTCAAAAGACCAGATCATCTCATAAGCATCCTCTCCCTCTCCTCAGGATCTCTCCGTGTGTGAGATACAAGACCAGTCTGTTTACATAAATGTTTGAATGTGTTTATGAGTGTGTAAACTCTAGCAGCTTCTATGTGAAAAATGATTCAGTTTCCCATGTTGCCAAACCCTGAGCCTGTGTGAATGTGTGTGCACAGGTAGAGTGAGAGACTGAGATTTCATATGCGTCTATGTACTTTCTGCATGAATGATTCTGGCAGTGAATCATTTTGACCCATTGATTGCTTAATGAAAAGTGCAAATAAAAGGTCTTTTTTTTCCAACAGGAGTGTAAAAAGTACGGGTATGTAAATTTTACTCAGTTGTAAGTGAAAGTACACAGCTGAAAATATATTTGTGGGAATGTATATAAAAAAAAGAGTCCACATTTAATTGTAGTTAAGCAGAAGTTAAAAAAAAAAAAAAATCTTCAGAAATAAATGAGGAAACAATATTGTCTAGAAATGTAGCATTACATCACTTGCTCACCAATGGATCCTCTACAGTGAATGGGTGCCGTCAGAATGAGAGTCCAAACAGCTGATAAAAACATCACAATAATCCACATTTGAACTTTTCTGCCCAAAATTGAGTCCATAATCTATAATATTAAGTATGATTTTGGAAGTGTTCAGTGAAAAAGTTCATGCCCCGTTGTCCTCTCACATCAAAATCAAATTATTTAGAACTTCTTATGCTTGTAAACAGTACTTGATCTATGAATATTTCTCTCCTGATTCAGATGAGATGACTTTTTCCCACTGAAGAAAGCAATGATATGGAAAGAGGACTCATATTTTGGCTTAAAGCAATGGTTTGAAGTTAAAAATATCTTAATGGATTTGATTATTACAAACATTATTGTGATGTTTCTATCAGCTGTTTGGACTGTTCTGACGGCACCCATTCACTGCAGAGGTTCCATTGGTTAGCAAGTGATGTAATGCTACATTTCTCCAATTCTGTTCAGATGAAAAAACAAACTCATCTACATCTTGGATGGCCTGAAGATGCAAATTTTCATTTTTGACCTATTCATTTAATAAGAAGAGGGTGTCTACATATTGTAGTGTGCATTCTCATTTCCAGGAGTTCCAGTTATTAAATATGTTTGTTTTAACTCATTAGTTTGATTTTCCAGGCGGTCCAGATGGACGTCAGAAGCGAGCCACTTCAGTGAGGCTGGGCATTGCTCCCTGATCTAGATGCAGCTGATGCAGTCCTGTGTTAAAACTGGCACACAGGAGACTGCTGGAGTCACACGGAGCCAGAGACACCAAAGGCCCTGAACCGTCCAGCGTTAACGTGTACAAACACGCTGAAGAAAGAATATGGAGGAGACAAGAATCAAGCCATGTAGATTTTAAGCTGATGTGACTTTTTTCCTTGATAATACCAGCCTGACATGTTTATCAAAAGCTGTTTGCTTCAGAAAGCATGACACACATGAAATATAATGTGAAAGGGTGTTAACCGTTGCTTTTGACATTGTTATTTAAAGGAGAAGTGTGTCATTTTTTTATATTTCGGAACCATTTACATTTAAACTCCACATATCATCAAAAACCTGGCTAAAATTTATTTATTTTCACAGTAAATCACAGCTCTTAAATAATGGTTATCTAAATGTGTTGGATTTTAAAGACCCTTTAAATACTACTCACAGAAGAAGAAAAAAAAACACTTTTTGGGAAACTTATGTAATCTTTATGCATGTTTAAATTAAATCAATGATTTATATATATTTTTTAAATATATATATTTCTAATGATAAATTAGAAATTAAAAGAAGGTCTAGGGTCAGTAAGAGATTATGCTTTTAAAAGAAGTTACTAACACTCACCGAGGCTGTATTTATTTAATCAAAAACACAGCAATAACAGAAATATTGTATAATATTATTACTATTTAAAATAAGCTGTTTTCTGTTTTAATATATTTGAAAATATAATTCATTCCTGTAATACAAAACACTTTTCAGTATCAATGCTTCAGTGTCACATGATCCTTCACAAATCCTTCTAATATGCTGATTTGAATATTACCGACCTAAAAATTTTAAATGGTAGTGTATTAAATAGTAGTAATTTTATCAGTAATACTAAGTTAATAACTACGTGGCATATATATAAATATTTCGATTCAATTAAAAATATGTCAGCCAGAGGAGATTGGCTTCCCCAGCCAAGTCTCTCAAAGTGTCTTTTTCACTTACCTAAACATTTAAGAGAGTTTTCTGACTTGCCTTCTTTAAACAGGAAACTGGCCTGTTAACAAATGAGCCCCCTGGCCAATTCACTTGTGTATGTTTAAAAACATATTACAAGTATGTGTGTGTGTGTGTGTTACCTGCAGTGTTCTGATCCCATATTTTTACTGAGCTGTCATACGCCGATGACGCCACGAGAGCAGGATATCCGGGACTGGGAGGCACAAACATGCAGCATGCTGTGGTCTGCAGGTGTCCTCTGTATTCGGCCACCTTACAGCCGGGCTGTCTGAGGTCCCACAGCTACACACAAGCATAAACACACAAATGTATAAATTCATGTACATGCACAACTGTGTCCTGGCAGTATCTGTATACACACTCACCGTGGCCTCACAACCCTGACCACCGAAACCATTGCTGGACGACAGCAGGTGGTAACAGTTGGAACTGATGTCACAGTGTGTCTGGATGTACTGCTTTGCCGGAAATGTGTTAGTGACCTGCCAGGTACGGCTATCCCACACCCTGAGACAGATAACACACAAATCAAAATCATTAATACAGCGCTTTTCATAATATGCATTGTTTCAAAGCAGCTTTACAGAAAATTATGATGACAATGTTTATTTTCATGCCTTATAGTCTTACATCACTCACGAATGGATGCTCTGCAGTGAATGGGTGCCGTCAGAATGAGAGTCCAAACAGCTGATAAAAACATCACAATAATCCACAAGTAATCCACACCACTCCAGTCCATCTTTGTGAAGTGAAAAGCTGCGTGTTTGTAAAAAACAATATATCATTGTTTCTCTATCCACAATATTGCTTTTTCAGAGGAAAAAGTTGTCTCGTTTGAATCAGGAGAGAAATATAGACAGATCAAACACCGTTTACAAGCGAAAACAGTTGGACCCACTTTATATTAAGTGACCTTAACAACTATGTACTTACATTTAAATGAATCATTTGGTACAATGCACTTATTGTGTACATACATGTTTTTACATTGTACTTATATTTTAAAAATACCTGCATGTAATTACATCTGTAATTAATTTCTGTAATTACATTTATAATTACACTGTTGACCCATCCCTTAACACCTTAACCCACCCTTAAACCTACCCATACCATCAAACCTGTCCCTAACCTTACCCGTATCCCACCTCAATAGCAGAACGTGTGTTTTGCAATACAATATGAACACAATAAGTACATTGTACTTATGTTTTGATGTAAGTACATAGTAGTTAAGGCCACTTAATATAAAGTGGGACCAAACAGTTTAACATGGTTCTAGTCGGTGGATTTTGATGTGAGAAAACTTTTTCATTTGGGGAAGCATTATTACAGTTTAAGGTATATTGGCCAGAAGCCCTGATGGATTTGTTTATTACAAACACGCAGCTTTTCACTTTGCAAGACATTAACTGATGGACTGGAGTGGTGTGGATTACTTGTGGATTATTGTGATGTTTTTATCAGCTGTTTGGACTCTCATTCTGACGGCACCCATTCACTGCAGAGGATCCATTGGCGAGCAAATGATATAATGTTTTGTGCAAGCATTGCTATGTGGTTTCTAAGATGTGGATTTTAGCATGTGCCGTTGCTATGATGTTCCGTGTGTTTGCTGCAGTCAAAACTAGAGTTTCAATGACAGTCACAATGTAAATATAAAAAAAAATTTATTTGACCACAGAATGTTGTTTTTGACCAATCAGAATCAAATATTCTACAGATTGAAACATTTGTTTAAATAACAGCAATAAAGCACCACTAATAACACTTTACAAACATACAGAAGCCCACCGAGACCACAAAAACTAACATTTCATTTATGTATAGATAAGTAGAGTTTACAGTGAGATTACAGTTCTCTTTCACTAGTGTTTTTGAGTATTATTTTTATACAATTAAATGATTAATAAATATTTGAATTAGTCTTTATTTCTAGCTTTCATTTGAATTTTGGTTTAAGTTTTATCTATTTTATGCGCTTCGCTTTTTTAATACAGATTTTATTTCAATTTCATTAATTTTTATTTCAGTTTTAATTTGAGTCATTTTAGTTAAACGTATGAGTTGAGACAACAAATAACTTCTCATTTTCACTGACGTTTTTCAACTAACATTTATACTTTATTTTAATTAACAAAACGACTTTTAATAGTTTAATTTAACAATAATAACACTGATTACATGGTTTACTTCTAATGTTTCACTGCACGGTTTTATATCGCATTTGCAAATTTCTTTAAAGGTAAACAAATGATAAAATGCTTTGCAAAGCCACAATTCATTCCAATCAGTTTAGAGCCACTTAATGAGTTAGCCACAATAACCAAGGTGGGTGGAGCTTAGCGAAGGGTCAATCATTTGTGCAATTCCATCGGCTGCTGTGCAACACCACACTAACACTCATTGATCTCCAAACCTCCCTATTCAAAGCTTCTCCAGCTCACCTGGTCATGCCCTCCTGACACGCACAGGTCAGAGGTCAAGCTGACGACACAGTTGATGGCATCTGTGTGCGCGGGTTCATACTGCACTACCTGGTGCACAGGTGCGGGCTCCGCCCCCTCTTTGGCCCTGTCAACAATACAGCCTCAATGACCATACATTCTTCACAACCACCTGTCAAAACTCCACTGCTCATCATTTCTCACTTATAAAGGTCCGAGCGCCTCCGGAACTTGCTCTGTAGTTTCCCCATGCTTATATGGGTGTCCAATCACCCGATATCAGGACATCTTACTCATCTCTCCACAGCGCAAGCCATCTTCAGACTCTTTCGGGATCTGTGAGAATTACACACAGGGTTTTTATTTTTTATTTTTAAACATTGATGAAGATATCAAGTCCCTGGCAACCTCACAAGGGAGCTATTACCTGCCAAGAACAGATGCTGATGTTGTCTCTGGCATAAGCTGGTAATCAGTTATGTATTGGGTTCAGTTATGTATGTACACAGCTTGCTTCTGAGAGCTACAGGAAGACAGGGAGGGCGACCTGAATCCTATTAAGTGCATTAGTGCCTCATCGCATTAGGTAACAAGTAGGATGCAGTATGGCAATATTTGGCCAAACCAATAGATCCATCACCTGCAATAAACCTTCAGATATGAGACAGCTATACAGAGAGAGAGAGAGAGAATGTACCTGTGCAAAATGCATTGCTCTGTTGAAGGCAAACCAGTAAGAACTGCATGACAAACATACAACATCGCTTTTAACCCATGCATTTGCTATAACACTATACGAGACAAACGCAGACGCGCATTCAATGTAAGTTAATAGCCTAAAGTTCGCGAGACCAAAACAAAACTTACCGTCCCGAGCCTTAAGACGCTTAGCCGGATATCCCTGTCAGCGTGTCAGTGTTATTGTGAACGATTCGCATGGGTGTGTGTGATGTCCGAGCTGTCTGAAAGTACGTGAACGAAAGATTTATCTCGCATCGTGATCCGTCTCGGCTGTAAATCTTCAGCGGCTCCTCGCCTGCAGCTCCTCCATGAGCGACGCTTTCGCTGTTACCAGGCGAACGGAGGTCACGTGAGCGCAAAGGGGCGGGGCTTCAGGTCACATGGATTTTCTGAACAAAATACAAAAGTAAACGAAACAAAATGAAACTACACACACACACGCGCACAATATATTACACATAGGTAAATTGAATTAAGCTGTTTAAGTTTGCAGTTACAAAACCAAAATAATCGAATAGAAATAGGCCGATCTCATACATCTAATATCCAACATAAATCTAACTTTTACACCAAATATCTTTTTCAACAACAGATATGTCTTCTCAGCTTTACTGTTGTTCTTTAGGCTGCAGAAATGAAAGAATCATAATTCTTTAAGTCAGTGGAAAATAGTCTAATATTAATTCAAAACATGTTCATAAGTTCAAAATAAGAAATTAAGGTTTGAATTGGGGGGGAGGGGAATGTGTAAATCTGTAAATGTCCTGTTATAAAGTAAACCAGCCTCGCTAAGCATAATTTGCCCTCCGTATTTAGTAGCCTAAGAATAATTAACTGCAAGTCCATAACTACAATGTGAAATATATAGTGCATTGAAATGTTCGTTTTTAAATATAGGCCATTTATATCGATACAAGTATTTTTCAGAAGTCGGAAGTCAGAAAGAGCTTTATTGGCATGTTTCCACACAAGGAATTTGTCTTGGCGATATAGCTTCCAGTGCAGAATAAAGTACAGACATACTGCAAACTTATGATAGTGCAGACATGCCTACATAGGAATTACACAGTAGAGATGAAATATAACGCTAATATAAGAAAATAAGAGTCAACCACGCCTACCTAAAACGGCTCGTTCTAACACGCCCCCACATGTCTACATCACTATGTGGGAAGATTTGCATAACGCCGCCCAATCCCAACGCGCTGGATAGCCGGCCAATCAGAGCACACCTCGCTTTTCAGAACGATGAGCTTTGTAAAAATCGACGCGTTTCAGAAAGGCAGGGCATAGAGGAGAAACAATAATGTACAGTATGTGGAAAATAATGTGTTTTTGGAACCTTAAATCGCATAAACGCATTTCATTACACCAAATACATAAAATAATGTTCTTTTTAGCAGCATCATATGACCACTTTAATGAATGTATATGTTTTTTTTTTTACAATACAGTTTATGTAGTTTACAAATGTACAATTTTCAGATGCTATGTATAAATTCCTCACTCTGGAGGTGTAAAGATCTTGGATGTTGGGCAGGGGGAACCACTAATCTTCTCAGAAGCCCCGACTGTCCGGAACCTGTCAGGAACCTGAATGACGCCACTGCAGCCACAGTGCTGTTCATGATGGTGAGTGGGGGGAGAGCAGGGGGGTTTCTCCTGAAGTCCACTATCATCTCCACTGTTTTGAGCGTGTTCAGCTCCAGGTTGTTAAGACTGCACCAGACAGCCAGCTCTTTAACCTCCTGACTGCAAGTAGACTCCGTTGTGTATGAGGCCGATGATGGTAGTGTCATCTGCGAATTTCAGGAGCTTGACAGAGGGGTCTTTTGCAGCGCATTCATTCGTCTACGGGGAGAAGAGCAGTGGCGAGAGCACACATGCTCTGTACTGTCTCTGGTGGGACATGTAACATGTTAACAATGTTACATTTAATTAACCATTTTAATTTGAGTTACATTTAATTCCAGCAAAGTTAGCATTTAACAAGGGTTTGATTTTTTTTCAGTCCTCAAAGCAAAGAAGGTGCCTTAAAACTCTCTACATTAATATATTGCAATATATATTGATTAACCCCCATTAACTTACTTTAAGTTATATTATTATAGTTATAATAATAATAACAATTAATAGTAGTAGTAGTAGCCCTCTTGTGGTCAATGAAGGTATGGCTACTTCTACTGAACTGTTCATATCTACAGTAAACTAAACCAGTGGTTAGACATTAGGAGCTTGAACAGAACATTTGAGTTTGGTGAGGCAACACAACAGAAGTACTTTCCTTCTGTATCAAGCACTTTAATAATTTATTGACCAATATAACATATTCGCCATGCTTTAGATTTAAAATGCACAATTTTTTAATAAAATGATGATACTGGTTTGGGCAGAGACCTTCAAACGGGTTGATTTTTCTAGTGAATCAGAAAAAGGCTTATAGGCTCTGCGGGTCACTTGACTGAAACAGCAACAATGTGCTCTTTGTGATCAAAGGCCGAACAACACAATGCTTGATATAGCTGAATAAATATTTCAACTTACAAAGAACAGCCAAGTAGCATATTTCATTAATCATCAAATCATCAAATAACCATTAGACGGCAATCCAACTATAATCGCAACATCTTACATTCATTACTCTGAATTTGTGCCTATAAGGTAATTGTGAAGTTGTGGTCAACTGGAGCTTATGATTTCACTAATGACTACACACAGACCAACCGCCCTTCAAAGTTAATCTTTGCAGTGAGACCTAGAAAGCATGATGGAATAGCTCAGTTCTTTATCACTCTAAACTTTAAATGTTGCTCTAAATGAATGAACTTAAAATGAATGGCCCAGAAGAGTCTACAGCTTTAAAAAAGGTAAGCTTTCATTTGACTTTTGAATTTATTGGGCACAACAAGGGCTCTCAGTGCATTATCCACAGGACTGAACATGGAAAAGCAATTGACATGCATGTGTTAAAAGACAAAAATATCCTAAAGACACCCTACAGAGCTTCTCCGTGGTTCTAAAGGGAATTTCATCCTGAATTAACTCTGAACCCATGCAGTTTTCACTGGTCATGCAATGAAAAACAGCTCGAGTGTATTTCTGCTAGTATATCTGTTATGCACCTTATCTAGAGCTCTAAGAGCAGTTCTGTCCTGGGATGAGTTCGCATTTCAGAGACAGACTGAATGCGTGATTAAGAGGCGTTTGGAATATTAAGTAAAAACGTAAAAATATTTTGGACGAGTTTCAAAAATGGGCGAAGATAATGGAGAGCTTAAGGAATATCAACCTTTACTTAAAGACTTCAAAGAACCAGCTCAACAAATAAAGGTATGTTTAAAATAAAAATATATATTTTTAAATACTATTTATTATTATCGCTGTTGTTGTAGTTGTTATTATTATTATTTCGACAAACAAAGGTATGGTTAAAATACAGAAATTATTTAATTACTTTTTATTATTTTCAAAATATTTAATAATAACATTTATTATTATTACAAATATTTATTACTATAATGTACTATTCATCAGCTATAATGAACAGTGATGGACATGAAGTTGACTGTAATATTCATGCTATATTTTCTGCATCTTTCATATTACTTACATTTTTTAGCAGATTTATTGTATTGTATATTTCTGTATATTGCATAATTTCACAACTCTTCATTGTTCAAGTACTTCTGCTCTTGCAATCCTGCAGTTTCTCTTTCTTTACTCTTAACCACTATACATATTAGTTATTAATGATGAGTTTAAATCAAAATCACTTTTGAACATGATTTTGTACTCTGTTATCTACAGGTTCCCAGTAAGTCTCTTCTTCTGGCTGTCTGTGCGGCTGGCATTGGTGGGACGTTTCAGTATGGATACAATATATCTATCATAAACGCACCTACCAAGGTAATGTGTGCATTAATGTGATAATTCTTATCACTTTACTTAAGCCTGTTTGTGTTTACATCTAGAGCAGATTTTCTGCAGTATGCATTAGTCACATTACGTTCAGTACAGTATGCATGTGTGTAATGTATTTGTGTGAGTTATTATTGCAGTAGCTCATCAGACTAAAAGTTATTATATTATAAAATCAGACTATAAGTTATTATTGCACTAGCTCATCAGACTAAAAGTCACATGAAATCTGTAGATAGTTAATATATCACATGGATATGGATTTTGGTCCCTGGTACAGCTTTGCTAGTTTGACCCAAAAATATAACAAAATCTACTGAATCCAAAACCCACATTTGGGTTTTGTACACATTTTTTTTTTTTTTTTAACACAGACAAGACACCACAGATGAATATAATAAAACCTAAATTCTGTCAGGACCACTATCGTCAAAGATGATTGACAATTAGCATACAGTTTGGATTGGCGGTATGGTTCTGTTCTGGGCAAGAACTCCCTGCACATCCATGCAGCCTAGCATGGATGAGAGCAGGGAGAGCAGCGATAACCCCCCCAGGGTAAACAGAACAGAACCAACATAAATGTATTGCAGATATTGTTAAATAAGTTCAATAATGTTATGTACACATTTTAGAATTAGTCTGATTCAAAGGAGAATCAGAAGACTGAATCCTGATTGACAGAGGAGGAGTTGGGGATGGAGAAGGGTAATTAGCTATCGAGCAATGCGAAAACTGCTGATATTACTGAGGGACCTTATATATGAATGCTTAGATAGGTGTTGTATTCCCATAGGTTGATGGGGATCAGCTGAGAGTCAGCTGATGCGAGCTTGACTAACGTGACCTGCCATAACTAACGCTGCGCTAGATGTTTGATGTATGAAAGTACTACTTAAGTGAAAACTTCTGACTGCATGAAAAAACAACAACACTTTTTTAAAAACAGCCTTTGTACTGTATTTGAAAACTACTGATGCAAATAGAGAAAGTGTAATAGAATAAACTCTAAGGCCTGGTTTCACAGACAGGGCTTAGGTTAAGCCAGGATTAGGCCATTGATCAAATAGGACATTTAAGTATCCTTTAAAAAACGGGCCTTAGAAAAAAAAACATTTCTGGTGTGCATCTTGAGACAAAATAATGGCACTGGCATATTTTACATAAGATATGTCAGTGCAAGTTTCTTTCAGTTAAAGCAGCCAACACATGTATTTTAGTCTGGGACTAAGCTTAAGCCTTGCCTGTGAAACTGGAGGTATATGTGTATTTTGGATGCTTTCTTTCCACTGGTCGACATTATGGAAGCAAAATAGGCACAAAAAAAAACTCAAAACTGACCAGTGCATGAAAACACACTGGGTTTGCCTTAATTGTTAACCCAGGGTCATTGTTAACCATGTTTCACAATGTTCATACTTTACTT